AAGCACTGGAGAAGGGAGACGGAGGTTTTGGTAGCTGGGAAAGGGGAGGGCTGGTGCTCATTCCGCGCCCAGCAGGAAAGCCGTTATCTGCCCTCAGAGCACCAGCCTGAGGTGTGCAGACCACCAGCTGCCCCTGCTTCTAACGGCTCTCGTGTCCTGAACTTGGCTGGACATGGGGAGTTAACCCAGAGCCAGTGGTGTCCCTCCAGCACTGACATGACAGAACCTTCTGCCCAGGGCCACAGAACAAACCAGCACGGCTCCATGTGTGGCAAAGGAGACCTCAGCAGCCCAGATCTCCTTGGATCTCTAAAAACTCACCTGGGAACTTTCTTGCCAGTAACTCCACAGCACTGATGTTCAAGTCCAGCTGATCCACGTGGTGCTGGCTGAAATAACCAATCTTTAGGTTTCTGCAGAACGAGAAGAGAGATCGGGAGCTGGCACCGGGCCCTGCAGCCATGGTGCTTGCAGCAGCAGCTACAGGAAGGGGGGCATATACATGGGTGTGCAGGACCCGTTCCCATCACCCAGGCAGCCGTCACTCCAAAGCAGAGCCCAGAAGGCCTCCAGCTGCACCACTCCTCCCAGTCCCAGTCTTTCCTACCAGGTACCTGTGAGCGTGTCTGATCCCTCCAACTGGTGCCAGCTCCCCCATTAAGATCTTTAGCATGGTTGACTTCCCAGCTCCGTTTTCCCCAACCTAGAGAAGCAGCAGCAGCAGCATTGGAGAACACGAAACCCATGAAGGTACTTGGGAGAAGGGGGGCAGTGATCAGGGAATTTCATCTCTCTTGGATGATCAGGGAGTGGAGGCGGGCAGGATGAGAGTGACTCCAGCTACCTGGAAGCTGCATTTCTACCACTGATGAGCCACCAGGCAGCGGTGCAAGATGCTCCCCCCTCAAGCCTAAGAACTACCAGGTCCCTGCCTCATTTGTGAGCACCCAGCATCTCTCCGCTGCCCCATCCAACGCAGCAGGAGCCCCCACGACGTTTTGATAACAAGGAGCTGCAGAGAAGACTCTTCTCAGGGCTGCCCAGTAAAAGGATGACGGGCAACAGGCACAAGTCACAAATTCTAACTGGTGTTAGGAAAAATATTCCAAGGTTCCTCAAAATGAGGATGATCGAATGCTGCAATGGGACCCAGAGGAATGGGAGAAATAATCCTCCCTGGAGATAACCAGAATTCCACTGGACAAGGACCTGAGCAACCTGACCTAACATCAAAGCCTGCCCAGCTTTGAGCAGGGACCTCCCAAGCTCCCTTGCAGCACGGTTATTCTGCAGTCCCACCTACCACACAGATGCGGGACTCCAGGTCAGCAGAGACGGAGAGGGAACGGAAGATGTAGTGACTTGGGTTATAACAGAAGTCTACTTCGTCTAGCTGCAGGATTGGGGGGGAAAACTTCTCAAAGCCATCAGGGAACCTAGGGAGGGAGGAAGAGATGAGAGATGGCCAGGAACTTCAGAGACCCTGCTCTCAGCCCACCCTGGACAACCGCTGCAAGCCCCCAGGGTGGCAAGGGGGGGCTCCCTACCACACAGGGCCGCTGGGAAGGACAGTCATAAGAAGGGGGACAAGGATCTGCAGCCTTGACCCCAGGAAGGAACCCAGCCTGAACGTGGGGGCCTGTCAGAGTAAAGCTGGCTCGCAGGTGGGGGTAGTCGTCCCCACCAGGACAGGACCCAGGAGGGGCTCACATCAGAAATGGAGCCAAGTGCCCCCCAAGCAAAGGCTCAGGGATCACTTACTTTATGATCACCTCAGAATCCTTGTCCACAGGTTTCAGCTCTGGCCTGCAAGAAGAGGAGACACAGAACTAAGGTGCCTTGCACTTGAGGTCTGTTCCCACCAGAAGCCCAGATAGAGTCGTTTCTGTGACATGTCATCCCAGCCAAAGCCTCTGGACCAGAGACAGAGCCCAAACCATCCCTGCATCTCCTGGGCACCCTGCACACTCTGTTTCTCCCCATGAGCACTGCCCCTTCCCCAGCTCCAGGGAGAAGCAGGCCAGGCACTCACAGCTTCTCCAACAGCTTGAGCTTGCTCTGCACTTGGGACGCCCGGTTGGCGTTGTAGCGAAAGCGGTCGATGAAAACCTGCAAGAGAGAAAAGCATAGGTCCTCTTCAGCCCCAGCTACCTCACTCTTCTGCAACAAGACAGCCAAATCCACGGGTCCAGAAGCATGGAGAAAGGGACGACGCTGGATGAAGAGTGCCCCAGCACTGCTGCCTTCTTCCAGTACCTGGATGTGCTCGCGGTACTGCTGCTGGGCTTCGTATTCTCGCTGCTGGTTCTTCAGTCGCTCCTCCTTGATCTTCATGAAGTTCTCAAAATCGCCGCGGTACGCGTCCAGCCGATGCGAGTGCAGGTGGATGATGTCCGTGGCCACTGCGTTCAAGAAGTTCCTGTCGTGGGACACCATGAGGATGGTCGACTGCCAGGTCTGGAGGAGACAGCAAGAGGGAGGTCTGGGCATCATCAAGCCAGAGCTTGGTCCCACCACTCAGCGAGGACATCTCCACCCTTCGCCCTTGCTCTGTTTCAGTGCCTCCCACCACCCCTACCTGTAGGTAGG